CTTGTTCCTTCCGTGGGTAGGTGGTTCCATGGGTTCATAACCCAATGGGTGAAAGAGCATCAATTTTTGTCTTAAATTATGGCTTGTTGAGCTTAAAGCTATTGCTCTTTGTATGCATTACATTTGACCTTTTATAAAGAAGTGTTCTGGATCAATATCCTCCAATTTGTTTAGTATTTTAAACATCTACAAAATCAGCACTATACGTCTCGTTGAGTTAATCCTGTGGCCTCAACCATTCCTGATTTGAGTTGACTTAGATCTAGGATGATTTTTTGTCGTGTCGAACGTTCTCCTGAGCGGGTATGTCCTTTTGAAGGAGAGTTCTCCATGATTAGATACAGTAGTCCAGATGATAGACTAGAGACTTGAATAGCCCTTAGGTTTAGTCAAAGATTCATTTGTGAACGAACGAATGGTTTAGTGAACAATATGGTTGAAAATGCAAAATACATCCATGAAGAGTAGAGGTGCCATAGGGATGCCATGAAGAGTAGAGGTTCCCCAATGGTGCCTCTGGAACACTGTATGAACATAAGAGGTCCATGGCTATTAATGTTGATATTAAGAACTTGGGTGAAATTATAATTCAGAAGGCTTGTAATTAAATTTTTGTATTCAAAATGTTCAAAAAGTTATTTAAAATTTTATATATATATATGTTCTTAGTGAGATATATATATATATATATAATATATAATATACTGTAATATATAATATAAACCCACTACACCATCAGACCTTTCAAAAGAAGTAGATAGTTCGAGATATATATATCTCAAACATCTCTACTTCCCGAAGGCACCAGATGAGTGTGGGGTCAGTCTGCATTTTCCATCAAGCCACTGTCAATGTGAGAGAACTCGTGTCCAGCTTATAAGCCTATACTTGCATAAACCACAAGTGAAGATTAAATAATCTTTGGACAACACCCACCAGTGGGACTCGAACCCAGAAAGCACAACTACCTTCCAGTAGCAGGCATAACTAGTATGCTTTAACCCACTACACCATCAGACCTTTCAAAAGAAGTAGATAGTTCGAGATATATATATCTCAAACATCTCTACTTCCCGAAGGCACCAGATGAGTGTGGGGTCAGTCTGCATTTTCCATCAAGCCACTGTCAATGTGAGAGAACTCGTGTCCAGCTTATAAGCCTATACTTGCATAAACCACAAGTGAAGATTAAATAATCTTTGGACAACACCCACCAGTGGGACTCGAACCCAGAAAGCACAACTACCTTCCAGTAGCAGGCATAACTAGTATGCTTTAACCCACTACACCATCAGACCTTTCAAAAGAAGTAGATAGTTCGAGATATATATATCTCAAACATCTCTACTTCCCGAAGGCACCAGATGAGTGTGGGGTCAGTCTGCATTTTCCATCAAGCCACTGTCAATGTGAGAGAACTCGTGTCCAGCTTATAAGCCTATACTTGCATAAACCACAAGTGAAGATTAAATAATCTTTGGACAACACCCACCAGTGGGACTCGAACCCAGAAAGCACAACTACCTTCCAGTAGCAGGCATAACTAGTATGCTTTAACCCACTACACCATCAGACCTTTCAAAAGAAGTAGATAGTTCGAGATATATATATCTCAAACATCTCTACTTCCCGAAGGCACCAGATGAGTGTGGGGTCAGTCTGCATTTTCCATCAAGCCACTGTCAATGTGAGAGAACTCGTGTCCAGCTTATAAGCCTATACTTGCATAAACCACAAGTGAAGATTAAATAATCTTTGGACAACACCCACCAGTGGGACTCGAACCCAGAAAGCACAACTACCTTCCAGTAGCAGGCATAACTAGTATGCTTTAACCCACTACACCATCAGACCTTTCAAAAGAAGTAGATAGTTCGAGATATATATATCTCAAACATCTCTACTTCCCGAAGGCACCAGATGAGTGTGGGGTCAGTCTGCATTTTCCATCAAGCCACTGTCAATGTGAGAGAACTCGTGTCCAGCTTATAAGCCTATACTTGCATAAACCACAAGTGAAGATTAAATAATCTTTGGACAACACCCACCAGTGGGACTCGAACCCAGAAAGCACAACTACCTTCCAGTAGCAGGCATAACTAGTATGCTTTAACCCACTACACCATCAGACCTTTCAAAAGAAGTAGATAGTTCGAGATATATATATCTCAAACATCTCTACTTCCCGAAGGCACCAGATGAGTGTGGGGTCAGTCTGCATTTTCCATCAAGCCACTGTCAATGTGAGAGAACTCGTGTCCAGCTTATAAGCCTATACTTGCATAAACCACAAGTGAAGATTAAATAATCTTTGGACAACACCCACCAGTGGGACTCGAACCCAGAAAGCACAACTACCTTCCAGTAGCAGGCATAACTAGTATGCTTTAACCCACTACACCATCAGACCTTTCAAAAGAAGTAGATAGTTCGAGATATATATATCTCAAACATCTCTACTTCCCGAAGGCACCAGATGAGTGTGGGGTCAGTCTGCATTTTCCATCAAGCCACTGTCAATGTGAGAGAACTCGTGTCCAGCTTATAAGCCTATACTTGCATAAACCACAAGTGAAGATTAAATAATCTTTGGACAACACCCACCAGTGGGACTCGAACCCAGAAAGCACAACTACCTTCCAGTAGCAGGCATAACTAGTATGCTTTAACCCACTACACCATCAGACCTTTCAAAAGAAGTAGATAGTTCGAGATATATATATCTCAAACATCTCTACTTCCCGAAGGCACCAGATGAGTGTGGGGTCAGTCTGCATTTTCCATCAAGCCACTGTCAATGTGAGAGAACTCGTGTCCAGCTTATAAGCCTATACTTGCATAAACCACAAGTGAAGATTAAATAATCTTTGGACAACACCCACCAGTGGGACTCGAACCCAGAAAGCACAACTACCTTCCAGTAGCAGGCATAACTAGTATGCTTTAACCCACTACACCATCAGACCTTTCAAAAGAAGTAGATAGTTCGAGATATATATATCTCAAACATCTCTACTTCCCGAAGGCACCAGATGAGTGTGGGGTCAGTCTGCATTTTCCATCAAGCCACTGTCAATGTGAGAGAACTCGTGTCCAGCTTATAAGCCTATACTTGCATAAACCACAAGTGAAGATTAAATAATCTTTGGACAACACCCACCAGTGGGACTCGAACCCAGAAAGCACAACTACCTTCCAGTAGCAGGCATAACTAGTATGCTTTAACCCACTACACCATCAGACCTTTCAAAAGAAGTAGATAGTTCGATAATGCAGACTGACCCCACACTCATCTGGTGCCTTCGGAAGTAGAGATGTTTGAGATATATATATCTCGAACTATCTACTTCTTTTGAAAGGTCTGATGGTGTAGTGGGTTAAAGCATACTAGTTATGCCTGCTACTGGAAGGTAGTTGTGCTTTCTGGGTTCGAGTCCCACTGGGTGGTGTAGTCAAAAGATTATTTAATCTTCACTTGTGGTTTATGCAAGTATAGGCTTATAAGCTGGACACGAGTTCTCTCACATTGACAGTGGCTTGATGGAAATGCAGACTGACCCCACACTCATCTGGTGCCTTCGGGAAGTAGAGATGTTTGAGATATATATATCTCGAACTATCTACTTCTTTTGAAAGGTCTGATGGTGTAGTGGGTTAAAGCATACTAGTTATGCCTGCTACTGGAAGGTAGTTGTGCTTTCTGGGTTCGAGTCCCACTGGTGGGTGTTGTCCAAAGATTATTTAATCTTCACTTGTGGTTTATGCAAGTATAGGCTTATAAGCTGGACACGAGTTCTCTCACATTGACAGTGGCTTGATGGAAAATGCAGACTGACCCCACACTCATCTGGTGCCTTCGGGAAGTAGAGATGTTTGAGATATATATATCTCGAACTATCTACTTCTTTTGAAAGGTCTGATGGTGTAGTGGGTTAAAGCATACTAGTTATGCCTGCTACTGGAAGGTAGTTGTGCTTTCTGGGTTCGAGTCCCACTGGTGGGTGTTGTCCAAAGATTATTTAATCTTCACTTGTGGTTTATGCAAGTATAGGCTTATAAGCTGGACACGAGTTCTCTCACATTGACAGTGGCTTGATGGAAAATGCAGACTGACCCCACACTCATCTGGTGCCTTCGGGAAGTAGAGATGTTTGAGATATATATATCTCGAACTATCTACTTCTTTTGAAAGGTCTGATGGTGTAGTGGGTTAAAGCATACTAGTTATGCCTGCTACTGGAAGGTACTGGTCATAACTCCGTTCGAGTCCCACTGGTGGGTGTTGTCCAAAGATTATTTAATCTTCACTTGTGGTTTATGCAAGTATAGGCTTATAAGCTGGACACGAGTTCTCTCACATTGACAGTGGCTTGATGGAAAATGCAGACTCCTCATCTGGTGCCTCGGGTAGAGGTTTGAGATATATATATCTCGAACTATCTCTTCTTTTGAAAGGTCTGATGGTGTAGTGGGTTAAAGCATACTAGTTATGCCTGCTACTGGAAGGTAGTTGTGCTTTCTGGGTTTCCCACTGGTGGGTGTTGCAAGTATACTTGTGGTTTATGCTTAGGCTTAAGCTGGACACGAGTTCTCTCACATTGACAGTGGCTTGATGGAAAATGCAGACTGACCCCACACTCATCTGGTGCCTTCGGGAAGTAGAGATATATATATATATATATATATATATATATATATATATATATAATATATATATATATATATATATATATAATATATAATATAATATATAATATCATATATAATATATAATATAATAATATAATATATATATAAATAATAATAATACAGTACTGTAATAAAAAAAAATTATTTGTCAAGTACTGTACTGCAATGGTTAGATGTTTAACTTCATTATATTTTTGACATTGTTAGTTAAACTTTTATTATGACTTGGATTTAGCCATTTAATATTTCTGCAGTTAATCATGGATGTTTGTTTTTAGTTTACATTATTAAATGATATGTTCTTCTTTCAGCTTCTTGGATAATCGAGTTGGTGGATTCTGGAACTGGATGTTTACGCTGAGCAAGGTTCCTGAATTGGGCGACACCGTGTTCATTGTCTTGAGGAAACAGCCCCTGATCTTCCTTCATTGGTATCACCATGTGACCGTCCTTCTGTATGCTTGGTACTCATATTCTGACTACATCGCTACTGCCCGCTGGTTCGTCTGTATGAATTACCTTGTGCATAGTGTTATGTATAGCTACTACGCTCTTAAGGCCCTGAGGTTCCGTGTGCCACGTTGGGTCGCAATGAGCATTACCACTGCACAGCTAGCTCAGATGATAATGGGTGCTGCTGTTAACATCTGGGCTTACCAAGTAAAGCAAGCCGGTAATGAATGTCACGTTTCGTATGACAACATTAAAGTCTCGCTCCTCATGTACACTTCCTATTTTGTCCTCTTTGCCCACTTCTTCCGTCGGGCCTATGTTGTGAACCCGAAACAAGTGGGGGCTCGGCTAGCCAAGAAGGGCCAAGAATCTTTGGTTTATGAAGGAAAGAGTAGCAAGGGAAAATTGGAATAAAAATTAATAAATATATTATTGGATAAAAAAATTTAAATAGCTACATGCCTGCCTCAAACATTGATTTTACAAGATAACCTTTATATAGTGAAAGCAAAGTTCCAAGAATGGCATGGTTGTTGCTAGTTCTTGCAGTTTTGCTACCATTCTGATATTTGTGTGATCTAGGCATGATCAGCAAGTCTTTGGAATTGTAGCTAAGAACAGGTCATAACTTGTCAAATGTTGGAACATTGAATCTTTAAAACGACCAGAGGTAAAGCAGACTCTGGCTCTTCTTCACGTTCTGGAAATCGGAAGTTGTATTTTTTTCTGTAAACTTTACTTCCTCCAGCTTTAGTGTAAATTTTCTGTACAAAATAAATAGAAAAAGGTGATTTAAGTGATCAGCTATAATAGTGTTGAGAACAGTGGCTGCTTGATGGAATATATGGGAGCGGCTCCTCACCCGAACTGATCTTCAAACTGTTTGCTATCAACTAAGGGCAGTTATATTGCTTAGAGATAATTACTTGTCAAACTAATTCAAAAATGGTGTCTGAATTTGAACACACAAATTAGGTCTTGGATTGCTGATAGTATATGTGCCATAAGAGATTTTTTGGCAGTTATTTCATAATTACAGTACTGTAGTAGTAAGTGGCAGGAATTATTTTCAACTGCAAACAAACCCTAATTATTGATAAAATGAAACAGGTAACATCTGTGATTGAACTCAAAGCACAGTACTAAAGCAGAATGTATTTAATACTTTGTCCATAATGTTTACAGAATACATGTTTGAGTTCATAGTACTGTATCTGAAGATATGTACATTTTGCATAATGCAGAACGTAGCATACTTTAAGCATAAAACATTAGTACATTGTTCGTTATCTGAAAGGGTTCCCTTTTGACCCCTTTTACTAGGTTAGTGATTGAAGTTGAAACAGATGCACGGGTGAATATTTTAATATAATCAATGTCCACACGGTACTGTGTGGGTCTGAACAAGAGCATGATCAGTTTTGCATCACAGAATGTATGTATGTAACATATCCTTCAGAATACTTGTCTGGAGACATTCCAACTTAATATCCCTCCTCTAACCTTTGATCTCTTGAATTGCATTCCCCTTGTGTGAACAACATACTTGATTCTTGTTGTGTAATGTCATCAATATCTAATATTTCATTGGGTAATTATCTGCTAATCTAAACCTATCAAATCTCATCTTTTCCTTATTTCTTGTGTAAATGCACAAATTATCATCGATCTTTTAATTAAAACATTGTTCAATATTGTGTAGTATTAGTTATTTTGGAACAATTGTTATATAGTTTTATATTCCTTTAGTGTAAGGTTACCATGAACCACACTGCACATGTGATAATAATGTATTAGTTTTAAACTGGAAACCTGCAATTATTGGATTTAATATTGTATCGTTTCATTATTTAAATTGTACTGTATACTGTACTGTAATTTCATTATTTTGTTTCACCAGTCATGTCTTAATTTAAGAGATAAATAGAAAATTTTAAAAATAATAAATAGTATTGCTAACTTTAAAAAAAAGATGCATCTGGATATTTGCTAGTAAATATCTGTGCAGAACTTTAATTTGATCTATTCTTTTGTATATATTTACTACCCATTAAGCTGTGAAACTATATTTTACTGATTCTACAGGATGTCTACAATATCATGTTGCTTTCCTCTTGATGCTCTCATCAAAACTGTAGTACAGTATGCTGAATAAAATGAATTGTTATTCATGTACTGTATTCTCAAGTGAACAGGTTTAAAATAATTATAAATTTGTATGCAGTGGCCCATATTCATGGTATGGAACAATATCTATAGCTTCAATGCCTTGCTCTCTCTCTCAGGAGCTCTCCATTAATGGGTGACCAAGCAGATGTATTTCCAGGAGGCTATTATCACCACACAATCTTTTCACTCCATGTTACTGGTTATCTGCCTCTACCATTTGATTTTATATCACCCTTGTTTTAGCCATATCCGCCTCCATTGGGAAGGCGGAGGCAGAATTTCTTTCACCCTGATTGCCCCTGTTCACCTAGCAGTAAATAGGTACCTGGGAGTTACAGCTACTATGGGCTGCTTCCTGGGGACGTGTAACAAAAAGAAAGCCTGGTTGAGGACCGGGCCGCGGGGACGCTAAGCCCCTAAATCATCTCGAGATAACCTCAAGAAGATAGATCCTTTGTGTTAAATTATTCAAATGTTTCATCTTGATTAGAACACCCACCTTCCACTTAGTCTAATGTTTCTCAGCACTGCCTAATGATAAGAAGCCTCGCAAACATTCCTTTACTGGCCCTTTTATCTTCCACAGTACTTTCACATCTTTTTTCTACCTTTTTTGTTCTATTGCATATCCTTCCCTTTGTCTATGTACACATTTGTATGAATTTTATGCTCGAATAAAATATTTAACAAACAAAACCCTTTGAAGACATACAACCACCAAAACATCTCTTGCTATGTAGATCTGGCACATGTCATATTCACAAACGTCTTTGCTTTCATTCTAGCATTCATATTCTCTCACAATAACTTTTGTACTGTCATGCAAATTCTCCACAAAATCATTCAGTTGCTTCCAGAACCTTGATCTCATTCTTTTCCTAAATATTCTCCACATACACTAGAACATATGCAAAGCTGTAAAAAGTTGGAATATTTTAAGGTAGCGGCGACTGCCAGAACTATTGGCAGTTTGTCGGGTTTGGGAAGTAGAAAAACTCCCAGGACCCATTAAAGGTATGAAACTATTACTACTATGTATTGTTCTTTTACCCGAGGGCCACTAATACTAGTGGCCTCAATGAGGACAGGAAGCCGGCGGCTTGTCACAGGTCCCCCTATTTGTCTATTGGTTTAGTTCTAATTATTGGTATAGTAATTAATAAGGTAACCACTAAAAGTTTGGGAGGAGAATTTTAATTCATCATTAAGTAAGGTTTACCATAGCATATGACAGAATTCCATAGCATAACTTTGCCTCACAGACCATATTCTTAAAATGTTAAACCTGTTCACTTTTGAGTATCTTCATTTATTATTTTAACTGTATTTAAAAATAGGTCCAACAGTCCATTGTGGGCAGCCTGTAATTGCATTGTGGCATTACAGAAGATTGTTTTTACGGTTTGTCAAATTTGGGTAGTAATGAAATGGATCTTAAAATGTTCAGCAAATAACTTTTAATCAGACTGCAGATGGCTTAATTTTTTATGCCAAAATTGTAATGACCTTAACAAATGTGGAATAAAATGTCAAAGGTCCTTAGTATTCTGAGTTTTATTTTTAATTGCTAAAATACAAGATATTAAAATTATAAAATTTAACAATTAAACGTAAGCTGTGATACATAGTAGAAACTTTTTTTTCTACTATGCATCACATGTGGGCAAATTTCTTCCACTGCAGTGGTGTTTTTATTTCTCTGGTGCATTTTCATTGTTACTCTATATAGATCTCTTCAGGTAGTGGCTATTTACAAAGATGAAAACCATAAAGTCTACCAGCTCTTGATGTTCAGAGACGGGGGGGAAAAAACAGGAAGAAAAGCAAGTTCATATAAATTAATTTGCAAATTTGAATTAAAAGGTAGGGTAAAGTTGGTTCCATACAATTATAGTACAGTATTGGCATTCTCTGGAAGTTTATTACAGAATTTTTGGTACGAATCACTTATCAAATGCACATACAGCTTTGATTCTAGTGTCAATACCCTTGAATTTTAACTACAAATACCAGCCACCAGAGATTTGTCATAATAGAAAGTCTCAGGACAACTAAATCCTGTTTTTCAAACGCGGAAACCTATTGGCCATTTATGAGGGAGTTTTGTTATTGTAACAATGTACATTCTAGAGTATATTATTATTCTTTAATTTCCATAATATTAATTTAATTAACACTTGATAAATAAGACCTGGCTCTTGGATATTTGGCCCTGTAAGTGTCAGACTAGTAATCTAGTATCGGATAAATACAATTTATCCAAATGTTTGGCAGCTAATTTCCTGAACTGCAGTGTAAAAACTTAATATCATAGGGGACACAGTAGCAGGATGCATCAGAACTATATATGGTAATGGGGTTTCCATATAAAAAAAAAAAAAATTACATATCCACTAGACTTTCACGTTCAGCGACTCATTTCTAGGGAGTTGCTGGCCACAAAGTTCTGATATTATTGTGCGGACTTTTAAGTCGGTGGTTACCAAGCAACGAGACGCTGATCATTACGATACCTGATGCCAAGTTGCACACACTGAGGGGTGATTGTGTCTAGAAACCAGGTGTTATAGGAATGTTGCCTAAACATTAAAATGAAGTAATATACCATAAACCATAATATAGATGGATATCCTGGCAAAAATTTCCTTGGAAATGGGCAATAGTCATATGCTGTACTATTACTTAAGTGGCTGCACTTGCCACAAGGCTTCATCTCCAGCCACTTGCTTGCTTATTTTGGTTAATATCTTGAGTATTGAATTTCCATAAGTACAGGTACATAGTGTCATTTCTATATAAATGTCTTGCTATACATACCATTGTTCTTTCCATAAACGTGTTACAGTATTTCTATTTTTACATTAGATTAACTTGCCTATGAAGTTTTAATCTGTAATTTTACCCTAATGCAACATTACAAGACTTGCATATGTTTTTATTTAACATTCAATTGATATCAAATGTTGATACTTTTTTTTAAAGTACTGTACTTGTGTATGAAGATAATTATTGTATTATATAATGTAGATATTTAAAGCATTAACAGTATATGTTCTTTAGTGCCGAAAACAGAATCCAATAATTTTCCAATGACGTCGAAGGTACATTGTGGTACAAATTTTCTGTAATGCTACAGAGTTTTTTTTTCTTTTTAAGGTTGGCTGCCTTTAAATAATTATTTCTTTGCCTGAATTACTTTTCTACTTTCTGGATGAGTGCCTCCTTAACCATATTGGAGTGAGAAGTAGGGAATGATTCTTATTTATGCTCTCTTCAGTTAGCCGGAAAAAAACAAAGAATCATGGCCCACATTCTCCTAGTTCCGTACAGTATTTGGTAAAGGCTGAGATGTTCAAATGAACATGTACAATACCTCATCTTTTTATGGAATAACATATAGCCATAATTAGAATCATGTGGTAGAAGAGTTTACCAAGCTTATTTGTAGCACAACTTGTATTTAGTTTTCTTGATATTGAGGATATCCTGTTGAGAAAACCAGAAAAGAAAGAATTCACAAAGTTGTCAGTTTTAACATTAAAGGTCGACATGTTTTGTTTTGTGGTTGTCTTGTGATGTAATACTTTTATGGAATGTCAGATGTCTTTTGTTACGAATACAGCTATGTAAATGTTGCAGCAAAGCAGTCGGACTTAACGATACTTGGTTACTAATAAACAATTTAGTAATCTTCGAAACACTTGAAGTCTGGATTTTCTATTTATTTTATATTTTTTTCAACCTTAAAATTATAGTTCATGTTCTTTAGGTGTACAAATGCTTTATATATGCAAAATCTGGATTTTCTAATGTCGATCAATTTTGTGGGTGCACTGGCATGATGTCAATGTATGTGGGTTATCCAAGGTTGACACTACATCTGTGTGCCAGTAGGTCTCATTAAATGTTTCTTTGCAAAGTAATTGCTTCCGAGGGTTTTAAAATAGTAACTTTGTAATTACCTTTGCAAAATGGTTTCTAAAGTAAAGCACCAGTGTTATGGCCCCTGCTTTGCTTAATTTGTGGTTCCAAGCACACAAACCATCCCCAGATGTAGCAGTTCAAAGCTCAAGTTTTATCCTCAGATATTGTGAACTTGTGTGGAGGATAGTCACTCAATGTAATCTATGTAGATTGCTGATGCATTGCTGCTGGTAGAAACATTGTAAAAGTTGTTTTGCTCTCCTGAGCTGTTGTCAGTTTCGAGGCATAATTAAGCAGCAGCAGTAGTGTTAATTGGATTTTTATTATTTGCATCCTGGATTACATTAAAAGTACAGTAGTTTTCTTGTAGAGTATGTGCCCCTGTACCAGCTGATCAGATGGCTAACAACAATGTTTTCATTTGACTAGTTTGATTTATTTGAATGAAGATTATCTTGCTAACGTGTTAAGAGTTTTGGTGACATGAACCATTACTTGGAAGATTAGCTGCTTTAATTGTATAAATGACTTCCTGAATAGCTCTTTTAATTTTTGTTAAAAAAAAAATTATAAGATGTATTTGCATTAAAAAAATATCACTAGATCATTTGTATTTATCTTCAACATGGCATGTTGAATAATGATTCCATCCATATTGTAACTAGGTATTTTTACATATAATGCACACATTTTAATAAGTTAACTCAAATCACACTTGAAAACCTTCTCGACATCAAATGAATACGCTTTTAACATTGTGGTTTCCTTCCAAGGTATTAGTTCACTGTGGCCATTACCCCATACACCCATTGTTAAACACTAAGGGGTTACTGCTTACTTGCTGCCTCATGGTGCCCAACTGTTAATTAAATGGAGGAATGTTTAAGCTGTTTTGCTTTATCCCTTAAAATGTTTTCTACAGTTTAAAGGTACACTTTGCTGTTTGCAACCTGTGTACACTTAAAGGAAATGATTTTAACCAGAAATGGCAGAATTTATTTTATGGTAATAGTTGTTTTATCAATTTAACAAATTAAATATTGTATTGCAGTTAAGTTAATTAATGTAACGGCTATTAACAATGATGTTACTGCCTTACTGCAAGCACTAAACCACAGATTTTTATTTGTTAACCAAGACATGGTTGCAGGAAGACTACCCAACTATTGTAGGCCAACTCGAGAGATAGTGGTGCAGCAATTTACTACCACTGGGAGCTATCATACTTAAATTATGAAAAAAAAAGACATTTGTGAAGTATATATTTTTCCAGTTCAAATTCAAGGGTTCAGACTTGAACTTAACAGTGGTAGCGGTCTATATAATTCCAAACACAGATATAACCAAATTCAACTATAATCTTAATTTAAAAAAAAACTTTGCCAGCCTGATAACTCATTAGTTTCCTCCACTATGAATTTTTGGCTACTACCCAGGATAACTAAATCAATCAGAATAACCAAAATGCCAGCCTCTACCTTTCATCATAGCTCTAACTTAACCTCTTCACAAACCTCTGGAAAAATCAAATACTGTAAATTCCTGGATTTGTTCAACTGACATATAACCAGTATTGGCAAACTTCCACTAGAAACAATGAAGATTAGACTGCATAATGACTACCATAAGCAACTTTGCTGTTACTGCTGGTAATAAAAATGGGGAGACTGAACTCTGTACTTTGGAGAATATCAACCTATGTGTATACAAAATTCACAAGACTATAAAATCTCTATAATACTGTTACATGTTAAACTTAAAACAAGTTACAACCAAAAGAACTAAAACCCTTGCTTCATTAAAGGGTTACTCGCATGGAGAAATAAGACGGGTCACAAATACCAAGCACAATAAGCCGAGGAGACGTTTGAACCAGTGAGGTACGTCATGGATGATTTTCTGCAAGAGGCAGCGCCAACCCCCCCCCCCCCCAAATGAAATAAAGGCTCGGCCAGCCACCAAGGAGCCAGATGGAAACCTCTTCTCGTTAGGACTTCAACCTGGCCAACAGTTGGACTTGTGGAAAAGGACCCCCCTCCCTGTCCAGCTCATTGCTGCGAGGGGGCTTGGTGGGCAGCTGCCAGAGTATGATGCTCCTTAAGACAGTCCTCTGTCCTTTTGTAACCTTGTGCTCCTGCTGCTGGCCTCTCCAATTGTGCTGAACGACTGTTCCTTTTCCTACTGTTTCGTTTCGTATACTCACGACGCCCTCCTGCGGGGGGGCCCTTGGCAAAATCGGCAACGTGTCTTGTTGGGTGTCCTGCCTCTAATTGTGGCTCTGTGATGGGTGTGGGGGCACATTCGTGAATGAATGTCTTACTTCTCGTCTCTGTTTCAATCTGTTCCTCTTTTACCTAATCAGGCTCGTGGGGTGGGCGACCAAGCCCCCAAGTCAGACTATGTTGGAAGACCGGGCTCTGTAGCCCCCGCTGCATTGGGTCCGACCTTGCTACTCCTTTGACTCTCCTGACTACTCCCCTTGGCTCCCCTCCCTCCCTCTGTGGTTGGGTCGAGCCCCAAGCCCCCCCAATGGTGACCCCCTCGTTCCCTGGCATGGCTCAGTCTCTAGTTGTGACTACTGCGCCTTTTAACCCCTCTCTCTCTCTGGGGATTCTCAACGCCGTCCTCGCTCGATTCCTTCCCGCACTGATGCGTACCAAGCCTTGTTTGGTCCCGCTTCATGAGCCAAATACTTTGATCTCCTCCCTCTTAATTCTACGCCTCCTGACGATTTCTCCCTCCAAAGGCACTTTGTTGATTCCTTGTTAGGAGCCCCAGCTGTTGCTGGGGCTCCTAACTCTTCTGCTCTCGATTCACTCTGATGTTCCCTTTGTTCCCTTACTTTTTCCTTCGCCTCTCCATTGTTCTGCTGCTCGTATCTTTGTGAGGAAATGGTATACCGTTTGTTCCATTTATCTCCCCCAGAGTGTCCCGCTTTCTCTTCCAGATCTGAAACACCTACTGGACTCCTTGCCGGAGCCTGTGTTCCTGCTAGGTGATTTCAATTGTCATTCCCTTTGGGGTGATATTCTGATGAACACCCGGGGTTGCCTTCTTGAGCCGTTCATCCTCTCTTCTTCCCTGTCTCTTCTGAATTCTGGTGAGCCCACGCATTTGGACTCTCGAACTCTCGCCCTTTCCTGTCTTGATCTTTCTCTTTGCTCGTCTTCTCTTTACTTAGATTTCACGTGGAAATCAAGACGTGGCAGGTCTTGACCTCCATGGCAGTGACCATTTCCCCATCCTTGTTATCTTTTTCTCTTTTCACCCTCCCCTCTCCTTCCCTAGGTGGCAGTTTGCTGCTCTCTCTGACCTCTCCGTTCTGCCTCTCCCTCGCTCTCTCCTCCTCTCATGACACTGTCTTTGACGCTGCCCTCCGCTCTATTCCTTGCTCTTCCTCTCAGGGACCACGGAAGTGCGTTCCTGGTGGAATGCCGACTGTCCGCTGTAAGCATGCAGCTTGGAAGAGACACCGCCGCCGGCATACGGCCGATTCTTTTCTTTTATTTCGAAAGGCGAGTGTAGTGGCCCGTAGGGCCATCCGTACGGCTAAACGTGAATGTTGGGCGTCATATGTCTCCACCATTACGTCCGAAACTCCTCTGCCTCAGATCTGGAAGCGTATCCGCAAGATAGCAGGTAAGTTCGTTCCCGATGTCTCACCGGTCCTTCACCTCCGTGGCACTCTTGTGGCGGACCCGTTACAGGTCGCTACCGAACTGGGTTCCCACTGGGCTCTGGTTTTCATCTTCCCAATCTTTCCTTCTTCGTAAACCTGTCCTTGCTGCCTCACGGGCAGCAAGAAGCTCTCCCAGAGATTCAGGGAGCTTGAATCTCATCCTTTAGATTTCTGCACTCATCTTCGACTTCCCTATAACAATCCCTTCTCTCTCTCTCTGAACTTCGGTCTGCCCTGGCCCTCTGCGGTTCTATGGCGGCGGGCTCTAATGGCATTCATTATGAGATGTTTCGCCACCTCCCTCCGTGCACGTCTCAGTATTTACCGAGTCTGTATAATCGGATCTGGGAGTCGGCGTCAGTCCCTGACTGGCTCGATGCCGTTGTCCTCCCTGTTCGCAAACCAGGGTCTCTGGGAACATCCCCTAAGGACTTTCGCCCTATTGCCCTCACAAGTTGTGTCTGCAAACTCTTTGAACGTATGGTTAACGTTCGTCTGATGTGGTTCCTGGAACACCATCACCTCCTCTCCCCTTCTCAATTTGGTTTCCTCAAGTGCCGCAGCATAACAGATGTCCTGGTGAACTTGGAGGTCTATATTCGTACTGCTTTTGCTGCGAAGACCTCCGTTGTTGCCATCCTTTTTAACCTGGAAAAGGGTTACGACACCACTTGACGATATCATATTCTATCTCAACTTCATTCTTTTGGCCTTCGTGGTCATCTCCCTCTCTTTCTCTGAAGCTTCCTCTCTCATTGTCCCTTTCGGGTGAGGCTTGATACCGCTCTCTCTGCCTCTTTTCAGCAATACGAAGGTGTGCCCCAGGGTAGTGTTCTGAGCACTACTCTTTTTCTGGTTGCCCTCGATGGTCTTCTCCGCTCTCTATGTCGACGATGTTACCCTTTGCTGTCAGGGTGATGATTCGCCTCTCCTTCAACGCCGGCTTCAACTTGCCATTGATGCCGTGTCGTCTTGGGCCACCGATCATGGTTTCAGGATCTCTACGTCTAAGATTTGTGCTATGACTTTTACTCGGAAGCGTGTCGTTCTTTGACGCTTTATGGTCACTCCATTGTGTACAGGGATTCCATTAAGCTTTTGGGGTTGATTTTTGACACTCGTTTGTCTTGGTCGCCCCATATCTCTCATCTCCGTGTTGAATGCTCTAAGGCACTTACCCTCCTTCGGGTATCGTCCCATACTTCTTTGGGAGCGGATAGGCGCGCACTCCTCGCTTCACATTCCTCTCTCGTCCTGTCTAAGCTCGATTATGGTTGCCCTGCTTAATCGTCTGCTTCTCCTTCTACTCTTCGCCGTCTTGATGCTTTGCACCATACTGGGTTGCGCCTCAGTCCTGCTGCCTTTCGTTTGACTCCCATCCTCAGCTTGTATATTGACACTGGCTTCCTATCTCTCCAGGACCGCCGTGATCGCTACTGTCTTCGCTATCGTGCACGTTCCTTGCAACATACATCCTCTCGTCTCTGTCGTGCTTTAACTTTTGCCCCTCCTGCGGTTCCTGTTCCTCTTCACCACTTCCCTCTTTCTATCCGGTTATCTCGCCTACAGGATTCTCTTTCAGTTCGTATTTCTAATATTTCTCCTCGTGTTGTTCCTTCTTTGCCCCCGTGGAGCGTACCCCTTCCGCAGTTTTGTACATCCTTGACCCGCATCACTAAAGCTTTTACCCCTCCTACGGTTCTAAAACGCCTTTTCCTTGAGCGCTTTTCTTCTCACTCTTGCTCCGTTACCATCTTCACTGATGGGCTAAGTTTGCGGACGCTGTAGGCTACTCTGTTGTTTTTCCTGGTTGCACGTGTGTGTGTGTCACTTATCTGTGGAGACTAGCATCTTCACAGCGGCACTTTATGCTATTCTCTATGCTCTTTGTCTCCTGCTTTCTCGTTATCAATCTTCCTTTGTAGTTGTTGACTCTCATAGTGCCCTCATGGCTCTCGGGTCCTTTAATCCGGTACATCCAGTGGTTGTCGAGATCCAGCATTGGCTGTTTCTTATTCACAGTAAATTTAAGTCTGTTGAGTTTTGCTGGGTTCCCAGCCATATTGGTGCCTCTTTAAATGAGCGTGCGGATGCTGCCGCCAGGGAAGCTGTCCACTCTTGTCCCATCTCTCGTAAAGGTATTCCTTATTCCGACTTTTACCCGGTTATCCATTCCTACATCCTTACCCGTTGGCAGGCTTGAA